TGAGTATCGAACCTCAGTGTTCTTATAGATATTTGATCGATAAAAAACCTGAAGATCCATTGTTTCAACTCGTGTACTCAAAATTCAGATTAAAAAATTTGAAATATCCCAGTCGGGTTTATTGGTTCATTCAAAGAAACAAAACAAAAGTTGAAATTTTTTTTTCACAACCAAATAATAAATATTTGGAAGCTGATCGTGATTTCAAGATACTGTCAGCAATTGAAATGGAAAGTCTCAGCAATGATAGGTTGAAGTCGTGGCGGTCTCAAACAAATATTATGCCCTATAAAAAGGTTTGTAAAGAGTTAGGAGTTTCTCATAGAAATATTCTCAATAGGAAGCAAATTTATTATTACTATCACAAGAAGTTTTTAAAAAAAAAAACATCAACATCAACGATTTACATGCTGATAATCATGTGAAAAATTCAATAGAAGTCATTAACTCAACCCCAAAAGCAGAAAAGGTAATGATTGAAAATTCAAAAGTTGACATTTCTGCTGTTATCTTGGAAAATTCATATTCTCGAGATAGTAATGAGAACTTGTTTCATGACAGCTCTTACTTTAAAAATAATGCTCATTCCTCAGGATGTTCTGATATTGAATTAAAAATATCGAATGATTCGTTAATCGCTTCAACAAATGAACAGGATATTATACAGAATACAAATAATGACGAACTGATAAGCTGCTTAAGTAAAGACTTAGTATCTGATATTTCCGAAATTCAGTAGATACTTCCTGAGTACATGGCAGACAATGTTAGAGACTTGACCCCGGTTAGTTTCAATACTTTTCAAAATATTGAAATTGATAAGGACTCAACTCCGGAAAATTCGAAATTCCAAAAGTAATCGAGAATCTGTCGACAGATATGGACTCTAGTATAATTCTGCCCTTAAATTCTAATAATGTTGATAATCTTCCACGGGCGATCAGTTATAAAGAATGCAAGTTTTTGGAAGGTGCTTTCGACATGGAGAAAATGTATACCGGGTGATAATAAAACAAGACAAATTAGTCAGTAAATATTATCCATATTTTTTGAAAAATCGGATTCAAAAATATATTAATAACGTTTGCAACGTGATAATCAAATACTCGAAGTATCAGAAAAATGGAACGATCAAAATTTACGCAATGTGCAAAAATAATAACTACGGTTGTAAAAAATTTGTGATAGAGATAAACAATTGCCGAGTAGAGATATACTCTTCATCATTGGATTACTGCCATCCACAATCTATAACTTCTTGTGTGAGTGGAGTAAAACGCACTATTGCGAAGAAAAATCTTTTACGCATGAAACCATTTTCATACAAGAGTAAAACTATTCTGAAAGCTGAAGAAAACATCGTTCGACATGGGAACTTGCAGTCAATCAAGTCCGATTCTACTGTGAGAAAAATAAGATCGGAATCGTTAGCTCAATGGGATCAATGATTATATCAAAGAAGTATGTGTACCAATCAACGTGAAAATTTATAGTAAGGAACAATTCGATGTTTTGGATAAAAGTGGTCACATGAACAAACTTCCTATTTTATATTTTGACGCGACTGGAGGAATTGTGAAAAAACCTGTTGGAACCATGAAAAGAGTTTTTTTGTATTCAGCCGTACTGCCGATATTGACAGAGAGAATAATGCCAGTATTTGAAATGATTTCATCTAGTCATTATGCGAAAACAATTTTCGAAACAATCAACGACTTTCGAACATTCTCAGAAGAAAATGGTGAATGGCCTGTTTTCGGTAGTATTGTGACTGATTTCAGTTACGCCAATCTACATGCAATTAGTAAGGCTTGCAATCGTCAAACTCTTTATGAGTACATTGAGCTAACGTTCAGGATTTCGAGTGGTACGGAGCCTGCGCCAAAATGCTTAGTGAACATTTATTTGTGTTGTGCTCATATAATGAAAATGTTCAGCAAAGATATTGACGATAATTTTAGTGATAAAACAATTTCATCATTTTATAAAGATGCAATGGCACAGACAATACTCATACACTCATTGAAATATTTTGGACAATGGTTCTGGCATATTAGTTTTGTTGATTAACAAATATAATAGCGACGATGGTATACAAGCCAAAGAATATTTTGCGAAATTGAGCTTATTGGATAAAGAGTTCAAAATAGATGCGGATCACAACCAGACTGTAACTTTGGAAGTAGATGAGAATATTGAAACCGAAGGTTTGCACAGAGGAAGTCCATTTTATAAACATTTTTCTGAATTGAGAAAAAGGGTCCTTGAATTTCCAGACAATGTTGGAATAAATCAATATAACAACAAAAAGTATGCTGATATTATTTTACTCAAATATATTCCCATTTGTTCCCTATGGTCAGGCATTATGATGGAAGAAAATAAAAAACCAGTGAGTAATTGTTATGCAGAAAATTACTTTGGTAATTTAAAGACACATATATTGGGTGGTCAAAAAAATTTGAAGTGTTCTCGATATCTCAGAAAGAGCAGAGACTATTTCAAAGCTTTATTTAAAGAATACAATTTGAATATACCAAAGAGGAAACTCACCAAGCAAAGAAAAAGAGAACACCCTGAAGATGAATTTTCATCTCAAGAAACATGGAACAAAAAAACAAAAACCACTGACACACATTTCACCGGGAAGTATTTGAAGATGATTGTACCATTATCAAATGTAGAGAACGAAAATCCATTATCACATGCAGAGAACAATAATTCACAACAGGATATTGTCATTGTACATGATGATATGGACGAAACAGTTCTAGAAAAATGTATGTATTGTCGTGGATTTGGCAGACTGAATGTAACTGCGGAATGGGTGGAATGTGACGGATGTGGTGGTTGGGTGCACAAAAATTGCGATCAATCATTACGAGATTATGGTGAAACTTATTTTTGCGAAGCTTGTGTTACAAACATAATATACACTTTGGACTCAAAACCAGATTTGCGAGAGAAATGTGAAAATGCCATAAAACAGCTCCATGAAGATAACGACCATAGAAATGACATCGAGCGGAAGACAAGGAGCCAAAGAGAATCACCCCAGTGGTTTTTGGAACGAAGAAAGAGAGTGACTGCTTCCAATTTCGGGAAAATAATGAAGGCAAGATCAAATGAAAGGAAAATAAGTATGGCTAAGACCATCATATCACAAAAAAAATTCGCACCGATGCAATAAAACATGGAATCAAGAATGAAGAAAGGGCAATCCCGAAATATCTGATGGAGAATAAGCATATTTACACGAAATGTGGTCTCGTGGTACACAATCAATATCCATACTTAGCAGGATCTCCGGATGGACTCTCCAAATGCCCTCATAGAATAAGAAATGAAATTCCAACTAATTCAAACATGAATTATTTCGATAAAGATGGATATCTGAGATATACTCATGATGTCCATTATCAAATTCAAGGACTACTCGAGATACTGAATAGGCCATGGTGTATGTTGGTAATGTACACATACCAGGGTATGTTCATGCATAAGATCGAAAGAAATCGTGAGATATTCAAATCAATGTTGAGTAGGTTGAATGAATTTTATTATTATCATCACCTTCCCACTCTCATTGAGTACGATGTGAAGAATGAGAATGAAGACCTTTACATGATATTACATTTTTAGAAAACGGATTGGTCGATGATATTTTTTATTATCGTAAAAAAATAGGTGATAGGGATTATACTGTTGCTATTTTCGAGGGCTTGAACTATTATTTGACTGATGTGAAAGCATCGGATTATGTATCTTTATCTTCTTCGGATAGGGATGGCTGGTTGACTAATTTTGTTGTCGACATTATTATGTTATTATTCAATCATGGCGATCGATATCAAATCATTTCCGAATAATTGGGGTCAGCAATATTTAGAGATGAGCCGCATATCAAATCTGACTACTTCCTAGGGAAAATGAAGTTCGATAAAGACTACATTGCAATGCCCATTTTGATCACCAATAATCACTATTGTCTAATTATCATTGATTTTCAAAATGAAACGTTCAGTTATTTAGATCCGTTTGGCAGCAATTTATCAAAAACTAATGAAAATTTGAATATATTTGAAAAATTCATGAAAACGTATAATTCCTTTCATTAAACGGATAATAAATATGCTAATGAGTTATCAGCACTTGTATATGATCACTTCATCCAGAAAGATGAATATAATTGTGGCCCAATCATACTGAAATTCTTTCAGAATATAGGGAATCATGAACATTTGATGGATTCACCTGACCTCCACATATTCAGGGAAGAATTGAGGTATATGTTATTGAGAGAGTCTGAAGATGTTCGCGATAAATGTCTCATTTGTTCCAAATTCACTCCACCAGACACTTTCAAATGTCATTATTGCAAAAGACTCATCCACGAGGGTTGTCTCACGAATCAAGGTAACAATTTTATAAACGATGGAATGTGTTATTTGTGTTTCCAATATTGAACTATGAACGAATTATATACTTGAATTTCAGAACAATTCCGGAAAAAGGCATCTGAATATATGTACTGGGCATTTCAAATAACTGGGTCCACCTCCATTTTCAATGTCCTCACTTATTTTTGAAGATAGAGATTTGCAGTTTTCGCGAACGCTGGCTATTTTTTTCCTACCAGAATCCAGTAGCGTGTCCAGATTTTTAAATAGTTTATTACTATTCAGTATTAGTCCGCCAAAGGCTGAACCACCTAGAACAGGTCTATCTCACCCCTGCTGAGGTGGAAAATTCAACCGTCAGGAAAATTGTAGGCTTCATCAGAAGTACAGAGTACCTACTTTATTTGAAATCAAAACTTCACCTGAATCATAAGATCAATTAAAAATTATGTCTAGACCACTGGATTTCTCGCTGGATTCTACGTAAGAATAATTATTTAAAAGAACGTTTTTACTCCTTCTATAAGTTGAAAGATAGCTGACCAACATCTAACCAACAAGAATATGATGTGTGACAAACAAAGTAAAATTGTACCCCAGGTGAGTGTCAATCTCACCGTTGATTCCGATCGGGTGAGAGCCCCGGTGGTCAACGCTGGTTCCACGGATTCTGGGGAGGACCAATCACACGCTCAACTGAAAATGAAACAAACACCAAATCATAACGAATTAGAAGAAATGCAAATGGAAGAGAGCATTTTCGCCAGACGCTCTTCTATAACACGAACTCCGCCTTCAACACGAAAAAACTCTCTAAGCTCTATATCAAGCGGCAAAAGCGACAGAAACGAGACAGAACAACGAAAAAGGGATGATATCACAACAGCCATACTACCCAGTCAAACGAGAAGGAAAACGGAGAAAACCGACATACAACTTGCTATTGAGAAGTTGATCAACAAATTAGAAGAATTAAAAAACTACACTAAGACAAGCGTAAACACAAAAAGCGAGATCAAATCTGGTATACTAGAGGCAAGCAGTCTAGCAGCTAGAGTAAACCGACTGAACAGAACGAAGGAACTTTCAGACTGCGGCACACAATGTGAAACATGGAGTACAGCACAACAGATAAATAAGAGTACTCAAACAATAGTCCCACAAAGTGACGTGGTGGAAATCTGGACACGCTGATAAAATACAAACAGTGAGGGAAACAAGAAACGGCGAACTCTTACTAACTATGAGGGAGGAAAATAGGGATCAAATAAGAATATCTGTCGAACAACATATAAAGGACATTGAAATAAAAGACACGCAAAAAGGGAAGAGGATTTTACATATAAAGGACCTGGACGCGATTACAAGAATAGAGGAAGCGGAACGTTCATTAAAAGAGGCAACAGGCAGAAACGAACTCACCGTAAGATCAATTAGGCCAGCCTATGGAAGGATGCAGAACAGTCGAGGCAAGTCACGAAGTAGCAAACATTTTGCTGAAACTTCAAAGAGTAAGAATTGGAATGTCATTCTGTCGGGTTCAAGAGAGACTCCGAGTAGAACAATGCCGCAAATGCTGGGAATTTGGGCACAACTACGCGAAATGTAAAAAGGAAACAAGAAACAAAACCTGTTATAATTGCGGTCAAACCGAACACCTCTCCAAGGATTGCAAGAACCCGAGCTTCTGCTCTATATGCGAAGAAGCACACAGAACTGGAAGCAGACTTTGTAAAACCTTTCAAAAGGCACTAGCTGAGGCTCAAGATAAAAAATCACATTCATCAGAATCCTTCAGATAAATGTGGATAGAGGACGTCAAGCCCACGACCTGCTGTGGGAAACGATGTTGAGACAAAAATCGGATATTGTGATTATAAATGAACCCAATAGGAAAATCTCTCGAAACAAACCCTGGTTTCTTGACAACCAACTTGATACTGGCATAATAGTTAACGGAAGTGCAGCTAAAGTAACAAACTCTGGAAAGGGAAACGGCTCCGTGTGGGTAAAAGTTGAGGACATATATATATATATATAGTTGCTATATTTCGCCAAACGTAGACATGAATATTTTTGAAAGTACCATCGAATGTGCTAGGAGCACCTTCAAAAATAAGGGATATTGATTATTCTTTGAAGGCAGATGAAGATAACCCCAGAAATTTTGTTGGTGTCATCCCAGAGCCAACAAATGAAGAGATAATGACTTTTTTCACTGCATTGAATGAATCTGGAAGTAGTGTAGTTCTGAATGTAGTTGAACCATTTGCTAGCAGTATTGAGGAAGAGAATATCCAAAAGATTGAGAAGCAGAGCCTACAGAATTTATACAATCAAGATTATGAATGCCTTTCCCTGGAACACATTGATATTTTTTGAATACCCAAGTGACTGATTCGGCACCCAGTCTATATTGTCAACATCATTCAATGCACTTGGCTTGCCTGAAATGCTTCCTAGATTCTCAACATACCTCCTACGAAATGTTTTGAACATACTGTTGCCCATTTCAACTTCTCATTAGTTAAATAAGCTCTTTTAGTTGCCTGAATCCACAACTCACGTCTCTTTTCAGCAAGAGGATTAATATTTTTCCTATTATCGAAAATCGAAGGGAATCGGTGGAAAGATACCTTATCTCTGCCGCTTCTATTTCCACATTTCACAATTGCACAAAATTGGGGCATAATGAAGAAAAAATGTTTTAAAATATGACATAAATGCACAATAAGCATTTGTAGATTCATTTGTTTGTCAAGCAGGCTGGATTGAGATCTGTCATTTACTGTCATCTGGCAGAAATGCTCGTGGCCTATAGAGAAAATTACAGTCGGAAGAAAAATATATGACTGCATGGAGAATCAGTCTACCTACCCCTTTTGTGATAAAGAAAGACTATTTTATTTTATTTATATCTTGTTTATATTTCCATTCATGAATTATCATGATTGATGTCATAAAATGAGTTTATTTCTGTTGTTTTTGCTAAAATGAGTATTATTTTATTTTTGATAAAGTTTTCGTTTTCCATTGGAATCCTATAGTAATTACTAATACAACTTGATTGATTGATTGTCTATATTATCCCAAGCAACATTATTGTTCATAATAGGGATATATACAACAAATACATATGATAAATCAGAACAATATTAATTGCACAATTGTTTTTCATGAAATAAAAAAAAATAAAATAAAAATTAAAAAAATGAAATTAAAATATCTCCAATTTCAATAAATCAACTAGTATGGAGCAAGTACTTGCAGCAAGTTTTCATTAAAAATTTGATGGGAGTTATGACCAATCCATCCTGAAATCACTTGGAACACCACCATGATGAACTTGATTCCATTGCTCTGGATGAGAACCTACATCGGATATGAAATAATTCATCAGAGTATCTCTGTTCCTAATATTGTCCCTCGCTGAATTATTCGATCCAACTTTTCCAGCTGACACCAAATTACCAGGCATTCTCCTCCATGCACCTCCTCTGAAGTTTCAACTTTCATCAATTGTGTCAACACAACCAGTTGGAGTCCAGTGCCGGTTTAACAGGGGTTTTTTGGGTGCAATAGCACCAGGCGGTTAACTTTTTGAGGGCGGCAGGCGCGGCACAGCGCGCGTACCGCTCTCTGACCAAAGTTAAAAAAATAAGCGATTGGGTATTTATTTCTTTGAAAAAATAAAAAAAAAACTGTTGCGACACTGCACCCTACGATGCGCAGCCGCCGCCGCCGGCGCGGCCCGCTACGAGAGCTACGAACAGTTGAGACTTGGGTTACATATGCATTGTATGTATGCGCCACATAACAACAGTTATGATCTACTAAAATCTTTCTTGTGTGTGACTTGAATGCTAGAACTCCTGACCTGAGTAGTCCATTTGTGTTAAGGAAAATTCGTTTTAAAAACACAAACACGGTAAGCAAAGAGCATTTCCGTGATTATTGTACTAAATACCTCAATTAATATTTATTAGTTAGTATTTAATAATTATCATTACCTATTGTATAGAATAGAAAATGGACGAGGAAGGGCGGAAATTATCTGGACATTACTGGCGTAAAAGAAAACTGGAACGACAGGAAAGACACTATAAAATTTTGAAAAGTGTACCCAAAATGACAACATTCTTTACACGAGATGAAAATCGAGCACACAACAGTCGAAATGAGCCCAATCCTGGACCTAGTAGTAGTAGTGATGAAAACGTTTGTTTAGGGCGAAAATTGTGGAGGCTTTACCATCGCCTGAGTCATCAGAGTCGACTGTTTTAGATAAAGAAAATGACAATAACGATAACTCAGTAGCAGAAGAACCAAATAGTGAAAATGTTTATGAAGAAGTACAAGAAGATAACAGTAATTTTACAAACGGTAATGACGGTCGACAAACATAGTATTATAAAAATGAAATATGGAATAATACTTCAAGTATAGTGATGTTTATTTATTTCTTTACAGATCCAAAAACACTGGCTTTACCTAATTTTGAAGATCCCGCACTTTGGAAGCATGATTATGATCATGATTATACAGAAATGATTTTAGAAAATTGGACCGAACAAAATCTTGCAGAAATGGACTTTTTAATGTCAAAAAGAAAATTTGGTGAACAAAAGAGGTATGCCAATAAGGCAATGTTTTATAAAAAAATGGTTAACGGAGACACCGTCCGCCGCGATTGGGCAATTTATTCAGAGAGCACTGGAAATATACAGGGTGATTCAAAAGTAAGCGGCATCCTTTCAGAGGCGTATTCCTTGCTTGAAAATAAGGCAAAAAGTTCCTATTGATAAGGATCCGAAAATGCTTCCTAAGGGAGCTACGGCCCTTTGAATAGGACACCTCAAAGACGGTTTTTTCTCTATAACTTTAAAATCCTTCACAACAAATTTTTAAAAATTGGTGTACGGCATAAACATTCGATGGTAAATAGGACTCCGTATTCGAAATTTCAGAATTTCATTCAGGGGCGTCACATGCGGGAGAGGGTAAGTGTAAAAATATCCCTTCTTCTCCGGATATTCAGGTTACTGTGATTTCGTTTGGAAATTATTTCGAATACGGAGTCCTATTTACCATCGAATGTTTATGCCGTACACCAATTTTTAAAAATTTGTTGTGAAGGATTTTAAAGTTATAGAGAAAAAACCGTCTTTGAGGTGTCCTATTCAAAGGGCCGTAGCTCCCTTAGGAAGCATTTTCGGATCCTTATCAATAGGAACTTTTTGCCTTATTTTCATGCAAGGAATACGCCTCTGAAAGGATGCCGCTTACTTTTGAATCACCCTGTATATTGTTTGTATTGTTACTTATTCGGCAAAAACAAGAAACAATTTGAAAGAGGATTTTCCTTATGGAATAAAAGTAAAGAAAGATTAGACGAACATGAAAAATCGAAGGATCATTTAGATAACCTACAAGTATATACAAGTCGCATATTAAAGATAGGACGAATTGACATAGAACTTCAAAAACAAATTAGCACCGAAAACGGATATTGGATTAAAGTACTACAGAGGATCATTAGCGCAATAAAGTTTTTGGCGAAAAAAATAATGGAAATAATTTGGGTTTGTTGGAGCTAATATCTGAATATGATCCATTTTTAAAAAATCATATCAATAAAACTGCAAATTTAGGTAAAGGCAAACCTTCATATTTATCCAAGGATATATGTAACGAATTACTGAATATTTTGTCAAACCGCGTTACTGATGAAATTGTAAAGCAAATCAAGGCAAATAAATACTATTCGATAAGCATAGACTCGACCCCTGACGTAACGCACCACGACCAATTGACTTTTATCTTAAGATATTGTAATAATCAAGGACTTCCAGTAGAGAGATTTGTGGGCTTTTATGAGAACACTGGGCATGGTGCACAAAAACTTGAGGAGACTGTAATCAATATTTTAAAATCACTAAATCTAGACATTAAAAATTGCAGAGGACAATCCTATGATAACGCCAGTAATATGAGTGGCAAGTATTCTGGATTACAAGCACGTATTAAATTACATAATAATTTGGCTGTGTTTGTACCATGTGCTGCTCATTCATTAAATTTAGTTGTTCAAAATGCGGCGGACTGCTGTTTAGAAGCAACCTCCTTTTTTATGCTGGTACAAGCCATTTATACATTTTTCTCTGCATCTACGCATAGGTGGGACTTGCTGTCTCAGGTATCAAGAGATTCTGCTGAGTCAAATCAAATATTGTTACCTAGAAGAGTGAATACAACACGTTGGTCTTCTCGCTTTGATGCCATAAAAGCGCTAAAAAATAGTTACGTATCAATAAAAACTTGTTTGAATGAAATGGCACAGGATACAAATGAGAAAAATGTTGTTAGAGTTGAAGCAGCTTCTCTATCGGAAAAACTGGATTTACAAAACGGGATAATTTTATCTTTTTGGCTAGACGTTCTGCAAAGGGTTAATGAAGTCAATAAAGCAGTCCAAAAACAAAATATGGATTTAAGCACCACTGCTCACCTTTTGTCATCTTTAGCAGAATACTTTGATTCTTTACGTGATCGCTTTGATCATTATGAGGCCTTAGGAAAATCTTTAACAGAAAATGAAAATTATGTTCGAAAGCGAATTATTAAAAAAAAATACAATTTGGAGAAAATAATTCAGAGGCAATTTTAAGCGAAAGAGAAAAAATGCGAACACAATGTTTCGTATTAATAATAGACAATCTTAAATCAGAAATTATTCGTTGATCTGATGACTACAAATCTTGCTAGAAAAAATTTGAATTTTTGTTTGCTCTAAAAACACAAGAAGACAAAAATATTCTAGCATCTGCAACTCAACTACAACAAATCTACGTGGAAGATTTAGATGAATATTTTCCTCAAGAATGTGTCCATCTCGAAAAACTTTTAAATTCCCTTTCGGAAATAAAAATAAAAACTCCATTAGAACTCGTACAAGTTTTATATGATAATAATTTAATATCTTCATTCCCGAATGTTAATATTTGTCTGCGCATTTTTTTCTCCATAATAGTGTCAAATGCAAGTGGTGAACGCTCTTTCTTTACTTTAACACATTCGCTGCGTATGACGCCAATTGGCAGCATCCGTTCTTTGGCGCGCATGCATTCATCTCATCGAATGCGTTAGTATTACACTGATGGATAATTACTAGTTTCCACAAAAAACATGTTGAAGAACATATATAGCACTTCATACCTCAGGTACTCGAAATAAACATGTCCCGCACATGGTGAAGGTCCTACTTATCTATACGAAGCGAATGTGTTAAGAAGGGTTGAAACTTACCTAAGAAATTCAATTGCCCAAGAAAGATTGAATTCCTTGGCAATTTTATCCATTAACCAAGAGTACAAGTACATCGTACTTGTTGTTTATTCAAACCAAAGAATACTGTTTTATTTTTTATTTGGTGATTTTGATTAGTTTTTAATAATATTTCTTATTTAAATCAAAGAATAAAGATTTTTTATGTTTATTATTTTTCGTTTTTCATTTTATATAGGTATGTACCAAGACTAAGTTTCTAACTCATGACTCACGACGTGAGCAAGTTTGTAGAAATATCAATATAAAATACCGTTTAAAGGCCCAAAAAAAGGGCGTGGCACCAAAAAATTTTTTGCCTACGACAGTATGCATCCTGCGGCAGGCTCTTTTTTGGGGCGTTGTGTCTGTAGCAGCACCAGGCGAACTACCTTAAACCGGCAGTGAGTTTGACAATACCTTCGTTCTTTCATAGGAATGTCTTTGAAATTCGTTTCTAAAGCTCACCACAGGACTGCTGCAATCAAACATGATAGGGAGGCTTTATTTTCATCTAAAGAAGATACCTCTACTAGGAATAGTCACTACCTCTACCTGCTGGGTATTCTTTTTTTCGATGCACCACATTATATACGCATAGATGGCAACATTTGGCAACGCTATGCTGTATCAGCAGCATGTTTAGTTCGAGACATCTATTCGGGGAATACCAGGACACAGAAATATTGCAGTTTTTCACTTCGCGCTGTTGTGCATTTGCCTGCAGTTCACTAATAAAAGATTCCATATTATATAATGGCCTGAAAATGTACAATCACCTCCCAACTATTGTTAAATCTATCTCGGATATAAAAAAATTCAGGAAGGAATTGAAAAACTTGTTAGTCCCTTATGTGTTTTATAATGTTGATGATTTTCATGAACAAGTATTTTAGACGAAGCCTTATGTGTGCACATGTTTGTGAAAAATTGTATTTATGTTGATAATTGTTGTATACATCATTTTATTATTTTGTTTTCATAACCTATTCAGCTTTGTCTACAAGGATTACATTCTTAAGTGACAATAAAGCATATTTTGATTTGATTTGAGATATCGTTGTGTTAGATTTGCTATGATAATTATTAATTAATATTTAAGTGATGCTGAATATCGAAAAAAGCTATAAATAAGGCAGAACATAATGAGCAAAACAGTTATATTAACTGTTCAGGAGAAAGATTTTTCTCGACACTGAAGATTAAATAATCGATTTTTTTGAGCGGAAAACATCGATCTCTGAAGAATCGATTATAAAATCGGCATTCCTATAGTTCGTGAGGATAAAAACATTTAGTGGTGATTCGATTGTGATTCAGTTCTGTTGTTGGCATACGGAGGTAACTTATTTTTTTAGTACCTACCTACTCTACTTGCCATTATAAAACAGAATTTCTCAATATTTTATTAGGATACCTATGATGCGTTCATATAATTTTTCCGCCTAACTTTTGTTTGTTTTTGATGGAGTTTTCATTTATTTAGTTTGTTTTTGATGGAGTTTTCATTTATTTAGAAATTTTGTTGGTTTCAGATTTTCCGAGTGTTAATTTTATTTTATAGAATATTATTACATAAGCAGGACTTACTCATATATAGCTATTTAGGTACAATAAACAAATTTTTGTTGATCCTTTTCTGTAGGTAGGTTCAGTTTTCATTTTAGTTTATGAAAAATGGTGAATTTAGTCACAATCAACAATTATTCGTTTCAGTTTTTCAGAGTTTTCATTTTTTATTTTTATAACTATATTTGTAGGTGAAATCAACGATTTCTTGTTCGATATATTTCTAAGTATCTAGACACATACTTAATTGTGGTAGATATTTATTCAAAATGAAGAAAAATAATTATTCATGTGTAAAGGTTTTGCTTCAAGCTATTATGAGCATCGAACCTGAATGTTCGTATAAAAATTTGATCGATTAAAAACCTGAAGATCCATTGTTTCAACTCGTGTGCTCGAAATTCAGATTTAAAAATTTGAAATATCCCAGTCGGGTAAATTGGTTCATTCAAAGAAACAAAAAAAAGTCGTGGCGGCCTCAAACTAATATGCCCTATAAGAGAGTTTGTAAAAAGTTAGCAGTTTCTCATAGAAATATTCTCAATCGGAAACAAATTTATTACTATCACATGAAGTTTTTGAAAAATAACATCCACATCAACGATTTACATGCTGAAAATCATGTGAAAAATTATATAGAAGTCATAAACTCAACCCCGAAAGCAGAAATGTTAATGATTGAAAATTCAAAAGTTGACATTTCTGCTGTTATCTTGAAAAATTCATATTCTCGAGATAGTAATGAGAACTTGTTTCATAACAGCTCTTATTTTATTAATAATGATCATTCCTCAGGATGTTCTGATATTATATTATATCACTTCAACAAATGAAGAGGATATAATACAGAATACGAATAATGACGAACTGATAAGCTGCTTAAGTAAAGACTTAGTACCTGATATTTCCGAACTTCAGTCGGAACCTCTTAAGTACATGGCAGGATAATGTTAGAGACTTGACCCCGGATAGTTCGAATATTTCCGAAAATATTGAAATTAATAAGGAATCAACTCCGGAAAGTTTCGATATTCCAAAAGTAATCGAGAACCTGTCGACAGATATGGACTATAGTACAATTCTGCCATTAAATTCTAGTAATGTAGATAATCTTCCACGGGCCAGTTATGGAGAATGCAAATTTTTTGAAGGTGCTTTCGACATGGAAGAAAATGCATTCCAGGTGATAATAAAACAAGAAAAATTAGTTAGTAAATATTATCCATATTATTTGAAAAATCGGATTGAAATAGTTATTTATGCAACAAGTGCTATAAACAATTTTTGCACGAGTTGCATACAACATTTTTTCTACGTTCATGCAAAAAGCAAAAAATGATTTATTGAGGTGCGGCACTAGGTGTAGGAAAATAAAAAACTTGAATACTTTATTATTGATATCTATTTGATCTATTGAAACAGGAACAAATACGTTACGAACAATTCAACTCAAACTTCATTTTTACCCTCAATGTTGAAAGTGAATGAATAATTGGTGCAATTTTCTATATGAATAAATGACGTTCCTATAACCACAGTTGCAATATAAAAAATGGTAGTCATGATGACAGCACGTTGAAGTAGAATGACAGATGAGTGCAATAAAAACTTTATTGCACTAAATGCAATGAAGAACTTTTTTAACACTAAATATAGTTCAATGAAGTTCTGCTCTTTGCATGAATGTAGAAAAAATATATTAATAACGTTTGCAATGTGATGATCAAATACTCGAAGTATCAGAAAAATGGAACAATTAAAATTTACGCAATGTGCAAAAATAATAACTACGGTTGTAAAAAATTTGTGATAGTGATAAACCATTGCCGAGTAGAGATATACTCTTCATCATTGGATTACTGCCATCCACAATCTATAACTTCTTGTGTCAGAGGAGTCGAACGTACTATTGCAAAGAAGAATCTTCTTCGCATAAAACCATTTTCATATAAGAGTAAAACCATTCTGAAAGCTAAAGAAAACATCGTTCGACATGGGAACTTGCAGTCAATCAAGTCCGATTCTACTGTGAGAAAAATAAGATCGGAATCGTTAGCTCAATGGGATCGAGATCGAGATGATATAATCGACCTTATCAAAATGCAAAGGGAACACAATGATTATATCAAAGAAGTATGTGTACCATTCAACGTAAAAATTTATAGTAAGGAACAATTCGATGTTTTGGATAAAAGTGGTCACATGAACATACTTCCTATTTCATATTCTGACGTTTTTTGCTGCGGGAATAGCTCACCGCAGTTGAGTACGTCCAGGATTCGGTTTAACTCACCGGTTTAACTCACTGCCAGTTAATAGAGTAAAAGACAGAGTAATATAAAAGATGCAAAATATATTTCCTATAGGAACAATTCTACTTTAGAGCTAGGAAGTATCTGAATCGTACTTATTAATAATAAAATAATCAAGTCTTCTTCAGGTTCTTCTTGTCCTTGTCTTCTTAGGCCTCCCTGTATCTGGAACTCACCATCCAACAACACTCGCTGTCACTGGTCCACGTTATCAAATCTCAGGAAACGTTCGAAGTACTGGTTTTCTGGGTGCGAAGGAGCGAGAAGCGGATTTCTCGCTATAATCGGACCGAACGATCGCTCGAATGGACTGCTAGCTATGAACAGTGAAGTGTAGATGTTCGTTCAATACAGAACGGAGAACGGATGGCTCGTATGAGCTAAGAGTCAAGTGGCAGACTTTTGGGCGGGAAACGGGATGCTGGTTACCAGCAAGAAATCGGGTCTTGACAGGAGTTTGATTCAAGTAGTCTCGTTGCATTAACGTATCTACCAAGAAGCAGGTCAACAATCTAATAGTTAGCGCATCGGGTTGTGTAACACAAGGCGGAGAAACTAACTGTTTAGGGTCGGATCTAGTTGTGCAACACAAGGCGGGGGAACTGACTGTTCAGTATCAAATCTGGTTGTGCAACACAAGGCGGGGAAACTAACTGTTCAGTATAAAATCTGGTTTTGCAACACAAGGCGGGGGAACTGACTGTTCAATTGCTAACCCAGGACGGAATAACTAACTGGTCGTCTAGTAGTCTCGTTGCGGTAACGTATCTACTATAATCTAAGTTCTTACATCGAATCACTATCGAAGCAGGTCTGGTCATACAGGATGGAAGAAACTAACTGTTCCATTGAGAACACAGGGTGGAAGAAACACCTGGTCGTCTAGCAGTCTCGTTGCAGTAACGTATCTACTATAAACCAAATTCTTAAATCGAATGAATTATTGATGCTGGCTGGGTGACACAGGTGATGTCCAGGATACCGAGCTTAGAGGAGTGCCTGGTACTTGTTTAACTGCTCGCGGGAATACCTCTAACAAAATATCGCTAGACCCAGAATTGAACTCGACAATGAAAGCTTTGAGTTTACTATCATGCAGTAGCTATGACGGATTAGTCAAATCTGGAAATACAGGAATAATGAGAAACGGAATGTTTGGTTTTATCAGTTTCGTTGTGATAACGTATCTCCTAAAACCAGAACATTTATTAACGCGGTGAAAATAACGAAAAACGCCGCATGTAGTAAATTAATTTTGACTTGCCTGGTAAATAACAGTCTCGTTGTGATAACGTATCTTTTAATACCAGGGTAGTGAAATATGTTAGCTACTGCTTCTATATTGATAATGAAAAACAAAGAAAACCGGAACCTTATCGAAATACTTGGTTTTATTAGTCTCGTCCTAACGACGTATCTCCTAAAACCTAGTCATTGATGACCTAAACTGGTTTCGGAAATATTAACGGGATGTCAGGCTCTATTAGTTTCGTTGTAATAACGTATCTCCTAAAGCCACAACATTTGAAAACACGAAATTTGTCAAATCAGGATTAGAGCACTACACGAGAAGTAAATTCTAATTCGCGCAAACAGATTATTTGGATAAGTACTCACTCGAGTTAATTCTGGGTAAAACTGTTGAGTTAAGATTATTTCCGGTTAACTTGAAGTTAATTACGATTTATTCCGGGGCACGTCCTCTCGGTTCGAGTGGCTGAGAGCAACTGCTTTCGAAAGATTATTTCAGGTTAACTTGAAGTCAATTTCGATTTATTTCGGGGCACTTCCTATCGGTTCGAGTGACTGAGAGCAACTGACTCTGTAGCTCGCCACTCTCTGCGATCAAGCCGGGAGCCGCGCGATCAATCTCCCCACCTCGCCGGGGAGTGTGCGCACTGGTTGCGTGAGACTGCACTGGGCCGCGACTGATGATTTCGATGGCTGGCGATCGACTGACTATTTTGCGCGGTACTCGACTGTGGTTTGCCTGCAATGCGATCCTCGAGTCTGCGCATGATGGTCAATGATTGAGGCCGGGTACACACGTTAAATGCTACCAACTTACTGAATTGTTTCTAGGGACCGCTCATCTCCGTTTTTAGAACGTAATTCCTAAGAATTCGTTACATTCCCCCCTTACTTTCGTGAGGGAAACTTCGTGTCACTCAGAAACTCCATCTCCAAAAAAAATCAAAAATAAACGGAATATTTCTATAATTCCAATTCTTCCAACGGAAATCAAATGTAAAATTCTCACCATCTCAAAATAAATAATCATTCTTCTTGAAGAAAACTTCATAACTGAAACAGGTCTCTTGCTCCGAAACAACTGAGCCAAACAAAAACTACCCCTTGGTCAGGACAATCCCCTGCCATGAAAATAAAATAAAAATTGGATTCCATCCCTATTCTTCGGTCCTGTTCCGTCGCACAATTCAGGGCGGTTGTGGTCCCTTCCGGCGATTCTCATCCTGACGACGCCTCTTCTCCCGGTGCCGTCTCGCCTTCCGGTGTAACTCGGGGGTCGGTACCCTTGGCTTTTTCGCTGGAGCAATATTGGTCTGTGCCTGGGGGCGGTGTCCGTCGAACACCAACATCTCCTCCAGTTCCTCCATGATCTGGTCGATCGTATCCCTGCCGATCAGATCGAGACCTGGTTCCGGGTCAATCGGAGGGTTGACGAGGGTGCAGGTCACGTCTGCCTCTTCTTTAGGAACGACTGCTAGGAGGTCGACGTCAGAAGGCCAGCGTTCCAATATTACGAACTCCTCCTCTCCTTCTGATGAATTGGATACAGCCGTGGTGACGGGCTCCGAATTCAGTAGAGCGAGGCCAGTAGCGTCCTCCACAGGGTTCGAATCATTATCCGACACCACGATCATCTCTTCCTCGTCTGCCGAATTCGTATTGGCCTTGGTCGTGTCGGGCTCTGGATTTAGTAGAGCGAGTTCAGTTGTATTACCTACATCATCGTCCGACACCACGATTATCTCCCACTCCGAATCAACATTATAAGATTTTTCAGTTCGAGCTTCCTTGATAATTAAGTTTTGGAGTACTTTGATTCGGGGTGGAAATAGCCTGCGTCTTGTTTGTTGCCAGTCGAGGTTACTATCGTACTCTTCGAATTCGTTCTCGATTTGGGATTGGGCATCTTTCCACATGAAAGCGGTCCGACTAAATGGATTAGGTTCCATGTCGATGTCTGCGGTAGACTGATTGTTGGCCGGCGGTGCGTGGCTATTTCTTCGTATCGCTTCCCCCTCTTTTATTCGTTAGTAGCGCGGTATCAGCTTCCCCCTCCTCTCCTTCTTCGCTTCTTGTTTACGTTACACCGGCACTCAAGGTCAAGGTGTGCCAGTGTTTGTTTACTTCGTGGTCAATGGGCCGGCTTGATATCTTTTACATGGGCAGTGACGAAGCGACCTCCTTTGGTCGGTCGTAAGCGGAATACCACCGGCGAATCAATTCTTATCACCTGATACGGGCCTGAAAATTTCGGCGCTAGCTTTGCTGCGAAGTTTTGTGCGGCAGAGGACAAATGATGAGTACGATACATTACACGTTCGCCTACCTGGGGAGCCCATTCACGCCTGCGTAAGTTATAATACTTGACCTGATCTACGGAGGATTTAGTCAAATTGTCCCTCGCCAAATCTTGCAATTCTCGGAGTTTCTTCAATCTCTCATTGTATTGGTCGGTGCTAATTATAGCCGTATTCGGATTTTCGTCTTGAAACTGTGGGCCGGGGGTACCAATTCTCGTCCAAAATTTAGCATTGCTGGTGTGTACCCGTTTGATTCCTGTGTCGCCGTGTTAATGGCAAACTTCAGTTCTGGTAACCACCTATCCCACATTTGGTGCTCGCCATCGGTATATTGGGAGATCATGGTTTTGAGTACCCTGTTGGTCCTTTCGACTGGATTACACTGCGGTGAGTAAGGTGGCGTGAGTAGGTGCCGTACCCCGTTAGCTTCGAGTAGTCCTGTGAATTCTTTACTAATGAATTGGCGGCCATTGTCTGACATGACGATTCGTGGCTTTCCGAACGTGCAGAAGATCTTCTCGTTGATGGCGTCACAAATTACTTTTGCAGTGACACATCGCACTGGCTTGCATTCTATCCATTTTGTGAATCTGTCTAGGAAAACTACTAGGTATGCGTTGCCCTTCTTGGAGCGGGGTAGGACACCGACTATATCAACCGATACTGTATCTCATGGTCCACGGTAGTTAGCCGGTCTCATAGTACCTGGCATTTGCTGCTGTAATGGTTTGAATTGTTGACAACTCGGGCAACCCTTCGCATATTGAGCAATGTCTTCTGCCATCCTTGGCCAATAATATCCCCTGGTGATTCTCGTGATGGTCTTGGCTACTCCCAAATGGCCCGCTGTAGGAGCGTCATGGTTCTCCTGCATAACCAGTCTCCTCTTGGGAGTTGGGACACAGAGTTTCCATTGTTCGGTGAATTCGGGCTCGTTCATGGAGTTTCGGTCCCAGATGTGATGGTACAGTTTCCCTTGCTTGACACAGTAATCGGGATGTCGTTCGGGGTCTGCCTGTACTTCTTGAAAGAGTCGGGCATACCACTCACAACAGTCATCGCCTTCTATCATCAAAATTTCGGCTTCGCCTGCCTCCGTTCCCAGATTCAAAGGTTGTCGAGGTAGGGCATCTGCGACCTTGTTGAGAACCCCTTTTCTGTAATGAACTTCGTAGTCATATTGTTGGAGTTCCAATGCCCACCTAGCTATTCTCCCTGTAGGTGAATCTATAGAGTTCATCCAGCGTAGGCTCTGATGGTCGGTGATCACGACAAAGTGATAACCCTCTAGATATGGTCTC